AGGAATTTCTCGTAAGTTTTAGATGTTTCAAATATCTTTGGCCAGTACGTGAACTGTGTAAGAATCCTTCATTTTGATATGGTCACATCTCTCTCTCTCTTCATACAAAATACACATATACATATTTTTGTATCTATATTTTTCATATGAAAAATATAGATATAAAAATTAAGAAAGGTCTCTTCATGGGTTCATTATTTAGTGAATAAATATAAATTTTGATACTTTGTTGTACAGCACATTAACGTTGACTCCAGATTTTTTTTACTGAAGATATTACCTTCATCATTATAGGACGCTTTGCATTTGATTCAATGTTGTCTGATGTTATTACACAGTCGTCACTCAGTATCCATGGAGGATTGATTTTAGGACCTCCAGTGAATACCAAAATTTGCAGATGCTTATGCCCCTTATATAAAATGGTACAGGACTTATATATAACTATGCACATTCTCCTGCATACTTAGTATCATCTCTAGATTACTTAAAATATCTAATAAAATGTAAATAGCTGTTATACTGTATTGTTTAGGGAATAATGTAAAAAAAAAAAAAAAAAAAAGTTGTACATGTTCAGTACAGATGCAATCATTGTAGGCCTGACTACATAGTGGGCCTAACTCAGCAACTATGGAACATTGTTTTCCGAATAGTCTCAATCTGTGGTTGGCTGAATCTCCAGATGTGAAACCTGCAGACGCAGAGGGCAGACTGTACCACCTCGGGGTTTATTTTTGTTTGCATGTGCCTGTTACTGATCCTTTTCCTTTATACATTTCTCAGTCACTTTTATGTAGGTGTGTCTTTTAAATACAAATATATGTCAAGAAAAGCGTAGGAATCTGCTAAGCACACTAGACACATGCCTGTCGCATGGAACCTACATTCTCCAGGGACAGTAGACATGAAGGCAGCCAGCACTTTACCCCCAGACACTAACACACTGCCTGGCACATAGGAAGGTAAGAATAAATATAGATTGACTGAATAAATTTATTTTTAAAAATCAATTACTAAGGAATTTAAAAATTTACATCTACACAAAGACCTGCACGTGGATGTTTATAGCAACTTTATGCATAATTGCCAAAACTTGGAAGCAACCAAGATGTCCTTTAGGAGGTGAAAAGATAAACTGTGGTATATATAGACAATGGAATATTACTCAGCTCTAGAAAGAAATGAGCTATAAAGACATGGGAGAAATTTAAATGCATATTGCTAAGTGAAAGAATTCAATCTGAAAAGTCTACACAGTGTATGAATTCAAATATATAACATCCTGGAAAAGATGTAACTATAGAGATAGCACAAAGATCAGTGGTTGCCAGGGATTAATGAGGAAGGGGGACGAATAGGCAGAACACAGAGGATTTTTAGGACAGTGAACATATTCTGTATGATATTACAATGATGAATATATGCCATTATATAATTGTATCACCAACCCTACAATTTATGAAAGCAGCTCTGCGTGTCACATACAGAACATTTTATGCTGGAAAAATAATGCAAAATTTCCATACCTTCTAAGGTTAGCTATTAGTATCAATATAAATAGAGGGATTTTATTATACTTTCTTAATCCTCACCCAAGAATATTTTTTCATTTATCTTTATCAGATAGAGCGGGAGCGGGGGAGAGAGAGAGACATCGATGTAAGAGAGACACATCAATTGGTTACCTTCCACACGACCTGGACCAGGGCTGGGGACCAAACCACAACCAAGGTATGTGCCCATGACTGGAATCAAACCCGTAACTCTTTGGTCCACAGGCTGACACTCTAACTGCTGAGCCAAACCAGTCAAGGCTAAATAGAGGGATTTTAGAACTCAAAAATTATGACTTTGAAGGTTTACAGTTAAAAGTAAAGTAGATGAGACATCAAAGAGGACAAAATGAAGAAATAATTAAGCTGCTGGCCTGAGTTTCTTCCCAGTGTTTCTTATGAGGATAAAGAAGAGTAGAGAAAAACCAGGAAATAGGTTCTGAAATTGCAGCCCCCCTGAAGATTTACTGGAGCCAAGAAGGAAAGGAAGACATGGCATGCGCAACAGAAGATGGAGTGAGCAGCCTCAGCTAAACGTTACTGCAATCATTTCGTACTGGAAAGGTAAATCAGAGGAGCTTACTGTAGTAAGCAATAAATACCTTCAAATGCACAAGCATCATGGAATTATGAATTAAAATTGAGTAGGAGTGTCTGTTTTTATGGCGATGTCTCTACGGGAGAATACCAGAGATAAAGGGAAACTGGTCGGACACCATAACCTCTTAAAATGATTGCTTAGGGTTTGCTGCACACACACACACTGTGGAAATAGAATGCTTCTTGGGTTTTATTAGTTCAGTCTATCCAGGATCATAAGTATGTAATCAGGTATGTTATAGGATATTACATTTAAAAATAGCATTCTTGTTTTATTTGCCTAATCTCTTATTGCCTTCCAAATCAGTTATTTGTACACAAGACTTCGGCAACATATACCCTCATGTTTTCTTCATGGATTCTGTAAATTGTGTAACAAAGAAACAATTTGGCATCATCAAATAAATATGAGTTAAACGTTTTAAAGTAAAGAGTTTTGTTCGGTGTTATACAGATTATCTAACACAATCCTTCCCTAGAGGCAACATGTATTCTAAAAGCAGGAGCATATCCAAATTCAAAATAAGCTCTATTAGAGTAAAATGCTAACATAACTCAGGGATAAATCCCTCTTTAACCCAATCCTCAAAAGTATGCTCATATATAAAGATATTCTTAACCCAAATCAGGTCTATTTTCATCGCAATTCTTCATTTTACCTCACTAGAAACCTAGTAAGAAATGGAGTATAAAAGTATATGCAGATATATTATGTATATATTTATATCACATATATATAAGTATATTCCTTATTTTATGATGTAATAAGGGCTGCTTGAACTTGATTACAGGATACAGTTAAAGAGAAAATAAAATGCCATAAACCTCGTGTTCACTTATGTTGTATTTTATGATAATATTACTTTCATTTTCCTAGTGCAAAAATCTCCACATATTGAAAAAGTATGTCGGAGGTGACTGCTCTGTACTAGGGACTGAGATCTAGACAGTAGATATATACAAAAAGAGTGAGATTTAGTTTTTACCCTTGACAATGACTCAGACAGGAACTGTATTCAGCTACTAACAGGGGTTTACCTAACATGTAAGTATGGTCTCTTCTGAAGTCACCAGGGACTCGGGCTTCTCTGACCTTTTCCCTTTACTATTCTCTATCCTCAAGATCGTAGTCTGGCTGCAAAAGAAATTTATTGGCAGTAAGACTACCCTTTTCTGCATCTAAGGAGCTTTCCTCTCTGCCCCCACAACAACTACAACTTACACCTCATTGGACAGAATTTAGAAATACAGCCACACCTAGCTGCAAGGAAACCCGAGAATCTTTGTCTTCAGAGGACAGATATTGAGTAGGCAATGAAAAGTCTCTGCCATAACTAACAAAAACATAACGAAGACAATGTGATGTGTATGTTAGTGCTTACTTTTCAAATTTCTTCTTGGCCTTTAAAAATATATATTTTCCAAGTATTCTGTCTGTGTTTTATCATTATATACAGGTTAAAGTTTTGTTTGAATTGCTCCATTTTCCTAGCAGGAAAATGCTCCCTGAATTTAAAGTAAATGTAGAACTTTACTTACTGATATCCAATTATCAAAATGCCTCTTTAAAAAATAACGTTTTATGCCCTGGCTGGTTGCTAAGTGGTTAGCACATCGACCCACAGACCAGAGAGTCCCAGGTTCAGTTCCCACTAAGGGTACATACCTCGGTTGCAATTTGTCCCAGGCCCTGGTTGGGGTCACGTGGGTGGCAACCACTTGATGTGTCTCTCACACGTTGATGTTTCTCTCTCTGTCCCTCCCACTCTATCTGAAGATAAATGCAAAAATGTCCTCATGTGAAGATAAAAAATAATTTAAAAAATAAAAAAATAATGTTTCCCTTTTTATTCAGAGTTTCATGAACCTGAGATACAATCAAGTAAGCAAGGAATAATCAAGTAAAAGCGGAAACCCCATTAATTCACTACTATGTTGTTTCCCTGTCCTCTTATTTTGCTTATATCCTGGATTCAGACATGGAAAATCAATGCCTTCTGGCACACATTCTAGAATGTTGGTTTGCTCTTGCTGAAGAAATCCGCAAGTGCAATTGTGGTGAGACATTATTTTCATATACTGTCACTGCATCTAACTGAGACTGAGCATTTAAGTTCAGTTTTGTGGAAAACAAGACCACAGTGCAATTTAAAAATGAACACTAGCCTTACAGGGGTTAAATTAATTAAACAAGGAGGCCATTAGTCTGAGGCGGCTCTAAGACCTTAGCAGCCCGCTTAAGCAAAGCCAAACTTAAGCCTGTAAATGCCTAAAGGTGAAGAAACCAAAACCCAAGGACAGCCTATCACAAACAGCCTAGTAGGCTTGTCCAAATTGGCTATGCTTAAGCTATAGCCATTCCAATGATTTCCGTGCTTTGCTCTGCTTCCTCTCTATAAAAGCCTTTTCTCAAGCTCCTGTCCTTGAACCATTCCAATTTGGTGCTGACTGATTTTAATCAATTTTTGCTCAAATCAAGTCTTCAAATTGTTAATATGCTTTAGCTTGTTTTTAACATGGGTAAAAATCAACTGCATTCATATTAGCTACAGCATGAGCTAATATGGCATTTTTTTAAAAGAATGACCACAATCAAATCTTTTATTTTTATAAATGTACAAAGGTGATCCAAATGTGACCACCACTCATTTTTCAAAAAGAAACTTTCTATAAATAAGCAAACCATCTGCTCACGGACATGTGCATGGATTTATTAACTGTCTCATTGGGCTTAATTACAGACCACTCACAGTAATACATTTTTACTATTACTAAAGGATAGTATGATGTTAAGCTGTTTTTTAGCTTTTGCATATACATGTTACACTTATGGCTGAAAATGCAAAAAACATAAAATGTTTCAAGAATTTGCATGTTATTCTTGAACAAGGGTCCTGCTAATCTCTGTAATGGTCCAGTTTAGTACACGTGCTGCCATGCCACCCTGAGCACTAGATGGCTCCTTCAATAAAAGCAACTTTGAAATATTTTAAAACAATGCTACATTGTTATTTTGAGTGAACACTATGGTTAAGGTTTCCTGTCTCTGGAGCACATTTTGAATATTTTTCTCTCTTCTCACCACATAAACATTCAATTAGCTGGAAAATTTTGACTAATTAAATTGCTGGGGAGTATGTTTTGCCTCTCCACCCCTAATCTCTGATAAACGTTGCATATCAAGAGCCTCTAAGCTGGCATTTCTGAGCCATTGATATGAAGTGACTGTTTTGAAACTTATTCACTCCTTTAAAAGACAAAGATCCAGTGTTCTATCCTTATAGGGCAAAATTACTGTCTATGTTTGGCTAACAGGGATACATTTGCTCCAAATCCAAAAAGTTCCTGAACTCATTTCCAACATAAAAGCAAATTATAATAGTTTTAAGGTAGTGGAATTCTGAGTTATGATAAGCTAATGCACTTAGTTTTTTTTCTGCATCTTCGAACCCCACATCCTGGTTTAAGATTCAAACGTCTAGACAAACTTCTTGTGGTCGAGCAGTAGGCTTTTTAGCTGATGAAGGACTGGCTGATTTGGAAATCAGTTCTTAAGGCCTCCGGAGAACAACATGCTGATATCCCTGAGCTTTTAGCTCCTAGATTTTTCACATCGTTTTTACAAAAGAAACACCTCCAGTGTACCAAAGCTTTGTGTAATGAAATCTTTCAGAGAAGCCAGAAATATATAACTCTTCCCTACCTGAATTCAGTCGTGGGTTAGAGCACATTTAATTTCAAGCCAATAGATTCACTGCACATCAGCACAAGGGATTAAAGACAAGTCTAGTTTTGTTGCCCTAAATGTACTGTTATTGTTATCAATTCATGCAGACTTGCAATAAGTTTTCAATAAATCTAAGATTAACTATTATTTTCTCACCTATAAATAAAATATAATCATCTTAAAAATCAATGAAGGAAAAACCATCATATCCATTAACCTGGCTCAGAATCCCTCCAGGCCCTTGCTAGGAAGCACAGCGCTGTGGGTCTTTCATTTTATTGAGCTATATCTCTTTGTATGGCAACCAGCAGGCAAAAGAAAAAAAAAAAATCAAATCTGAAAATCAAAGACTACAGTTTTTTATTCTGCAAAACCACTGAGGCAGAGACTGAATATTCTTTTCTGCCTGAGGTTAATTTTTTTTTCCCCACTTTAATTTGCAATCAGATGCAATCAAATAAAATAAATAAAAAAGAAACATTGCCTCAAGTAGCCAGTGGCTTTATTACCATCTCTACTGCCAGTCTCTACTTTCTATCACTTCCAAATCCTATGCTTGTAAAGTCACCTGCACAACCCTGCACTTTTATGAACACTTTAGTTGTCTTCACTGACTGTCATTTCGAACCACCTGCGGTTACAAGCTCAAAAGCAGTAATACATAGGGGTCAAGGCCACTTTTTCTCAGTAAACTAAAAAAACAACAGCCTAGTCGTTTAGTGATTTTTTTGTTTTGTTTTGGGGTTTTTTTTCTTTGTTTGTTTGTTTTTCTGTCAGCTTTTCTATACCCTACAGTGGACATTTTCCTTGCCTTTCCGTTGTGAATGTTCCTCCAAAGACATGAACTTCACAATAAGGTAACCATACAAAAACAAGGTTTTATAGACAACCCATTATCAACTAGCAGAAGGGGGTGATTAGTCATCTGCTCCACTTGAAATAGATCCAAAAAATTCAAGCCAGTACTGCAGAGAGGAAAACGTTTAACGTAGCATTCCAGAGCTGGAGCCATCCTGCCTTCGTGCGGGGCGTTGGCGGCCGACTTTGGAAAGGCTGTGAGTAATCTCAAAAGCCAAGCAGGAGGAGTTGACCAGCTCTCCCATCCAAGGCGGTATTTTTTTCCCCACCCCACACCACTCCACCCTGGTTGATCAACCCTTTGACTTCTCTTTGGACTAGAGCCAGAAAGAACCACCTTTTGGTTCTGCTTCTGTGGGCTATTAACACTGGTTGGTTCCATTAAATTATATTCAACCTTTTAGTCCAGATAGGTTCTCTAAAGTCATAACCTTTTCTGAAAATAAAAGGAGTGTTTATCAGCATATTCTTCTCTCTTCGTTTTCTGCGATTCATTACCAATTCACATAAAGTTTTTCAACCTGTAAGAGGCCTAGTTCACCCTCAAGGCAGTTCACATGCAAGTCCACATTTTCCCTCATAAATAAAATATGATCATTCTTAAAAATCAATATGAGAAAACAATCAGAACCATTAACCTATCTCAAAATCCCTTCAGCCTCTTGTAGGAACCACACAGTGCTGAGTCTTTCATTTTATTGAGCTGTGTAATTCTTTGTATGGCAACTAACAAGGGGAAAAAAAAATCAAAGACTCAGGTGTTGTGTTCTGGAAATCAGAGAGAAGTGGAAGTGTGAGAATAGATTTTTGACCTTTATGATTATATGTAAGAAAAAAATAGGCTTTGAAAACCCAGGAAATAATGGTTTTGAACTACTGGTAAATTAGCTTGGTTTGGTTTCTCCCTTACTCATGAGCAATTTATAAACCTGGGCATCAATTTTGAAAATTGTCAGAAACTTTTCTTTTAGATTTAAAAAGAAAAATAGGAGGTAAAGATTGATTTTAAAAGTGGATGAATAAAATGTAATGAAAGATAAGACTGAGTTAGGCTCAGACCTGTAATTGAGGAGCTGAAATGCAAATACTCATGGGTGCCTGGTCACTGTCACTGTTCTGGTCACTGTCACTGCTTCATGGTCACTTATTCTGTCCTTCCCTGTTGGAATTCCTATGTAAAATTCAATATTAAGAAAAAAATATCAGACTATAACTGGATTTTAAGTCAACGTCTAACTTCATCAATGTATAAGACAATGTATAATGTCTTATAATATAGTCTAATCGATCTCATTGATACACTCTTTATGAAAATACTCAGCTTCCCTACTATCCTCCATCTCTTTAAAAAATGAAATACATCTCCAATTATCACAAAGATAAAGTAAATAATTTTCTAGTAATTAATCTAACATGCATTGAAAATGTTAAAATTATAAATAGACATCATTAGTATAGCCACACAAAAATAGTCAAGTGTGCATGGGAAGAGAAAAATGTAGCTTGGTATTTGATCATTATAAAAATTGAGTAAAGAGCCCATTTTTGGTAAAAGTTTAAGAAAATAATCTCATAGTTTTAATATTTGTGCAAAACAATATTTAAACTACCATTTTGTTCAAAATCTCTAAGACCCAACTTAATAGCTAAACATGTAGAGAAAGAAAACTACATGTGGTTTTCTCAGTAAGAATGCAATAAGGAAGTAACAGAATCTGAACTATAAATGCTATTTTCCACAACTAAACGCATAAAAATCAACCTCCTTTTATTAATTCTACTTTTAAAATTTTAAATTGCATTTCATGCCATATGATTTAAAGTATTAAACAAAAGAGTAGAAGACACATAATTCTTTACCAGCACCTATGACCAGGTATTTAATCCATTTCAGGTATTTAATCCATTTGCATTTATTGGGATGGTGGTTTTATTTCTTTAATCTGACTTATGTTTAGTATTTATTATAATTTATTATTGTTTCTTCTGTTCCCTTTGCTTAAGTTTTGCTGGCTTATCTCTCTTCATTCTCTTCCTTCCTTCCCTCCCCAGATTATTTTTAAATAAAATTGTGTTTATTGGTTTCACTAGTGATTACAGTCCCATCCCTAATAATGATAATTTAAAATATATATCTGATTAATATCTTGACATTAAATAATAACTGTGCCTCCCACCAATAGGCTTACTCGATCACTGTTTCCTCTTCTCTCCTCTCTGTCATTCAAACATTTAACTTGCCATTTAACATTTCTGGGAGTTATATAATGCTATCCATGTACAGTTGTGTTACACATATACTTCTAATAATGGCAGTGTTTGAACAGTTCATACTGGACCCAAGAATTCCTAAATTTTAGAAGACTGAAATACAGGCATCACATTTTTATGGGCTTAAATCATCAATAGAGAAAAATAAAATAACCAGAGCCAGTTGGTTTTAATTATGTTTCTAATCATTGACTCTTCACAAAAAAGAAAATTAGAGGTTTGCATTAATTACTCAGTACGTTTAGAACAGTTAGATTTTATACAACTAAGTAATCGGTAAGCTTTTAGTCACAGCACATTCTGGAAAGTTCACAACCACGCTTCCAGGTTAAGCACATAGACTGACTGGTTCAGCAGAGGACATTTCTCATATTTCTCTCAGGTGCTTGATAACATCCTCAAGCTATGTGGTCACTTCCCCTGTCATTCTGCATGGTTTTACCACAGTTCTACCTCTTCCAAAAGGACGTAGTCCCCTAAAACCTGCTCTTTCTACTTTTCCCTCAAAACTTTAGCATCCTTTTGTTCCCCCAAGCCCCAACTACTAAGTTAATAGGTTCAGTAATATCAAAAATCAAATGTGACTCTGAGTCACTGAATGTAACAGTTAAAATATCTATGTCGTAGGTGACATTTCTATAGACAACACTTGCAATTTGAGCAACTGTATTATTGTATTTTTTCATTTACTTTTTAATCTTCACCCGAGGATACTTTTCCATTGATTTTTTTTAGATGGAGTGGGATGGAGGAAGGGAGGGAGGGAGGGAGAGAGAGATCGAAACATGGACGTGAGAAAGACACATAGATTGGTTGCCTCCTGCATGACCCTTACTGGGGCCGGGAATCAAACCTGAAATGCATGCCCTTGACTGGGTATCAGACCTGTGACTCTCTGGTCTCCGGAGCGATGTGCTAACCACTGAGAAAAACCAGCCAGGGCTGAGCAATTATATTATTTTATAAAATTGTCAGGACAGCCTTTATTTAAATAAAATATGTTAATAAGAACAGTGAACAAAAAAGAAAAATGTAAGCTATAGATAATAATCAACTCAGGAAAATTTGACATGGCAAATTTAAAACAATAAGAACT